GGCTGGGGCGGGGCCGAGCGCGGGGTGGGGCCAGGCCGGGGCAGGCGACGTCCCCGGTTCCAGTGTCCGGCCGGTGCGGGGCAAACGGGCTGTGTCGGGCACCGGGTGCCGCGGTGTATTATGGGCGTTGGAGTCTGGTCGCCGCGCGGCGCAAGCCCGGCTGCGGTGGGCGGACTACCACTCCCAGCATGCCCCGCCCCCTCCGTTCCCCTCTGGGGGCGGGGCGGTGGGGCCCGGTGAAGGGGGCGGGGCTGAACATCCTGCTCAGGGGGAGTTGAGGGGGGAGGGGCAGCTGAGGTAGGAGCTGTCCCAGGCCGGGGATCTGTCTGGGATGGAGGCTGGCAGGGGCTGCCTCGACCCACCCCCCAGTGCTGCTTACTCCCACATAGCATCCCATGAGGGGCCCTGGCTACTGGGCTGGTGTCGCAGGATTGAGAACACAGGCTGGCCTTCCCTTCCCTTCCCTTCCCTTCCCGGGAATTTACTTACCCTGGGGGCAGAATGGGGTTTGGAGCAATCCTGGTGATTCTGACCCCAGTTAGAGACTGACCATCAGCTTGTTCAATCTCATCTCTCAAAATCAGGGGGAGGGGCACTAAGAAACACAGGGTTTGATTGTTCTGGCCAGTCTGATTCTTGTCATTATTTATATGATTTATAATAACGTTATTCTTTATATTCAGGCGAGGCCTAGGAGCTAATGGATGCTTTTATCCTGTAAAGGAGGATAAAAATGAACTTGTAATGAACATAGGTCAGGGGTGGCCAACCTGGGGCATGTAGGGTAAGGAGTGGCACAGGCTGCAGCCTCTTGTGTGTGGCACTTGACTGGTTGGGGGAGGGACAGGTAATACATCACCAGATGCAGCAGATCAGGTCATGAGGCCAGAGAGTGGGCATTTGGGGAGGGAACAGCATGCAGATCAGGTTGGACAGAGGAAGGGGATTGAGGTGGCTCTCAGAGGACATGAGGGTAACTTGTGGCGCACCTGTCAAAAAGGTTGGATCCCACTGACATAGTTAATGATACACAGTTTGTTTTGGTGAATAAAATTCTCTTTTGGTCTTTACAGGGAACAGTGTGTACCACCAAGTTAACAGTAATAATTATCTCTCAGGATTTTCTCCACAATTCACATTTTGCCAACAAAAAAATAAACATATACTGTATGTTCTGTTCAGTCTTGTCAGAACATATATTGCTAAGAAGAAAAAATAAACTGCAAACTCTTATTTTTAAGCTACTAGCTATAGCTGACAAACAGGGTCCGTGTCCCCTCATTTATGACAACATTGGTTATACGATGATTGCTGAAAATAATTTTTAAATAAAATTCTCAGTAGAAAACTACCAGACTTATGTTTTTATTCTCTAGCTGCTAATTGCTGCCCTCTCTTCGTACCTTTCAGTATCTTGTCCTGACAGTTAGGAGAATGCCTTTCTTTCTTATTCACTCTCATAAACTTTTTGGGCCTTTTAATCAAGTCTTGCCTAACAAAATAGCTTTGCTCTCCAAATGTTGACATTATGATGTAAATAAATAGATGTTGCCCTGGGCTGCCCTTTGGGCTGCTTTTGTATAACTTGATTTCACTTCATCGAGGGGCTTAAATGATCAGAAATGCCAGAAAAAAACTTGAAATTTTCTGTAGTCTTGAAAATTATTAGCAGTGACCATTTTTTCCCTGGCAATTTATAGCCTTGCCACTCTATACTTAAATATAAATGTTTTCCTAAATTCCAGTATTTGTTTGGTATTCCCTTTTATTGATATTTATCTTGTATGTTAATATAGTTTAGTCTTCCTGCTGCTATTTCGCAGCTTAGGAAGGATGAAAGCTTGACTAACATCTTTCCCAGCTATTTAGTTGATTCACTAAAGATGTGATTAAACAAACTTTGGTGTCTTGCATATTTCTGGGATCATGATTCCCAGCTATAACAGCACTCCATCCTTCCTAAATGATAAACTTTCTTTTCTCATTTATTGATATGGGCGGCAGAGAGTGAATTTGCTGTTCTCTATACCACATGCCTTTATGTGCAACTCAGATCTTTCCATAAACATACAGGTCTTTATTCTCTCTTACTCTTTCCTCAAAGCTTTCAATTTTCTACATTTTTTTTGTTTTCCTATGATATATCAGTCCTCTCTGGGGGAAACTTCATCTTCCTTCCTCAGCAAACAACTTATCTTCTGTAGGTTCCCTACAATTGAGATAACCTTTCTTTAATTGTTTCACATGCCACATAATAAATTTCGAGTGGCAAATGAGGTGACCTTTTTCTTCACTCCTACTTTTCACCTTGCTGTATTCTTTTGAATTGGGCAGGATTTGATTGCATGTAGTTTCAACACTTTATTTCAGGTTTATCTGACAACTAACACTTTAAAATACCATCCCCCCCCCTCTGGATTTGGCTTTTAAAAACAATTTTAGTATTATTTATCCTCCCTGTTTTCCTCTTAATCTTGTTGAATTTTTTTTTTTTTTTTGACAGGAGACCCACTTTGATTTTTGTCTTTCCTCTGCTTCCTTAAAGTTACTGTAAGGCTATTGACTGTACATGAATTTACTGCTTGGAGAGAAAGGAAAGAAAAGCTAGAACTAGACCTTGTTTTTATCTAACTGCTCATAGCCATAATTGATTCTAACTGAATTATGAGCCAGCTGTATCACGCTACAATTTGGTAATTTTATTTCAGTTGGGAATGTTGAGAAAAATTACATGATGAGTATATAAGTCATGGCATCTGCAGACATAGAAGCAACTACCTAAAATTAAAAAGCATCCATACTTAAGCCTCGTTGATGCACACATTTTGACTGGTTTTAATTGAACCAAATTTAAAACCATTCTGGATACTCTTAGTTTTTGGCTTAGGAGTGACTCTATTTTAATTTATCTCAAGTCTCTTCGTGATCAATTTTTAGGTAAACCAAAATAAATCAATTGTAATCTGAAATAATTGAACACAACCTTTTGCACTGGTTAAATCATCTTGATTTAATAATCATGCTTGAGATTAAACTCGTACAGCTTTATTTGCAGATAGGGCATACACTAATTCTCAGGACCCTTTTTATCCTTCAAGAACAGATCTCTTCTTGCCAAAAAAAAAAAAAAAAAAAAAAAATGAAAAGCGAATGGGGTGGAGAGAGTGAAGGTGTGAGGGTGGAATTGCAGTAATTAGTTGCTTATCAATACTACACTTTATTTGCTACTGTAAAATGGGAGCTGCATCATTTCTAACTTTGATATGTACACAGTACTGTTAGGTATCTCTGTGCAATAAGTATAAATTCAAATAATGACACATACAGCTACCATTAGGGGTGTGTACTTAAGGACTTATGTGCATTCTTTGTCTGTTGATATTTTTCCCTGCTGTAGAATGGTGAAACTAGAAAGCATCAATATTGCAGTTTTTTAAAGATAAAGGAATGTTTTATCTGTGAGGCTCAGAAACATGTAAAGACCTCAGGTTATAATACAAATACACAGGAAACACACATTTCTAGAGAGGGCCCTCAGAAAATGAAAGTTCCTGTGCTGAAATCATTATATAGTTAATATTGCACAACATTAAGGGCAGCACTATATACTGGTCTATATCCAGGCTTATTTATATACTATTAAAGAGTCTTATAGTGTAGAATGTAATAATTGTAAGCAAAACTAGCCATCCTACACTAAAATTAAGCAGCTCAGTTAAGCCTGTAATCGTGGAAATTCTGATATAGCTCAAGTTTTTCCTGTGACTTTTCTAGTCTATGTCTGTATCTTTAAAAAACCACATATTTCAATTCTGAATTTACACTATGATTTTCATCTATTTCGTCAAACTCAAGATTTGTAGTTGCTAGTCTGCTTCTTGATGTTTTTGGATATATTTCAAAACAGTAATCAGTTTATTTCACGTGCTACAGAAGATGGAAAATCTGAAGCAGATGAGAAGCAAGAGGAGCCCAAGGTTCTGTTGTATGAAGGCTGTGCCTTATGTTGTCAGATCAGTATATCTGATAGAGTCCCTGATTATTCTCTTGGACTAAATACCTGAAAAAGTTTTGTGTTCTGCAAAATTTGGAAGTACTTTTCCAATATGCAGTCAAATGATGTTGCTTGTTTAGTAATCCAGTCATGCCACAACCATACTATCATCTCTAAAGTTACTACTTTTGAACCTTGGAGCCAAGCGTTCTGCAGTAATATGAATTGATTGGCAGCTATATTCTTCCTCCCTACAAATAAAGTCCTCTATTTTTACTACTTTGACTTGAGTGGAGACCAAACTTAGAAGTTCAAAACCGGTTCACTTTATCTTGTCCATAAATTGAGGAACGTTTGACAAATGCTTTGTCTGATTCATGTACAGTGTTTGCTGAAGTAATTTTCTGCAGAGTCTCTAGAGAGTTCTGCAAGTGAACTCAGAAGACATCCTCACGATGTACAGTGTGATGTACACCTTTTAACTACCTTAAGATCATCAATCACTGTTCATGAAGAGCTTCTTTTTTTCTTAATCAGGATCTGCGCGCTTTCCATCTTGTTTTTGTAGAG